TAATTATTATATTTATTTATTTGTTTTTATTGTATTTTTTTCATTTTTTTTGTTTACTTTTTTATTTTACTTTTATTTTTTTTCATAAAAAATGTCTCAACAAATTTATAAAAACCAATTAAATTTCCTTCTCTTTCCAGCTGGACTTGCAGCTGCAAGACGAGGCCGGTGGTGACATTTCAAGTTTCATAACGAACGGCGAATGGGATCTGCTAGGTATGGCAGCGGTGGCTTGAAAATAAAAGAAAGGCATTTCATAAAAAGTTTTCTAGCAAATTTAAAATCCGCAAATTCTAAAAATATTTAACTAATAACATACTAAATAACTAACTCACAGCTTATAAATCGAAAAATGGTTATAATTTATTCTTTTGTTTTAACATATCTTTTGCTCATAATTTTTAAATAAATTGTGTATTAATAACAAAGCCTCACCAAAAAAAAACAACAACAAAACAGCCAACAAAATTTCACTAGCAATTACTTATAAACATTTATATGCATATATATACATACATACATATATTCATTATATACATACATATGTATTTTAAACTAATATCTTACTGCTGCTATCTAATGCGCCACTTTCTCTTTCTCTCTTTCCCTCTCTCCAAAAAAAACAAAAACCAAAAAACCAACTACTAACAACTAAATAAAACAATCCTCTCTTTCTCTTTGCATTCTCACCGTCAAACGTAAACACGTCCATTCTCTTTGCAGGCGTGCCCGGTAAACGAAATGAAATCTACTATAATTGCTGCCCAGAACCTTATATTGACATAACGTTCGCCATTTTAATACGACGGAAAACTTTGTACTATTTTTTTAACCTAATTGTGCCGTGCGTACTGATAGCCTCAATGGCACTGCTAGGCTTCACACTGCCCCCCGATTCTGGTGAGAAGCTCTCGCTAGGTAAGTGTCGTATGTCCGCACGCGTAGTGCTACCAGCACAAAAATAAAAACAAAAAAAACAGTCGAATTAAATTAAATGCAAAATTATTAGACCTTCAATTTCAATGAAAATAGAATTTTAAAGAATAGTTACAACAATTTGAATTGAGTTTCGCATTCGCCAAATGAAATTAATCCCAACCCGCTCAACCTGGGTCCAAATATTTTTTTGGACAATTTTTTCATAGCTGCCTTACGAGAACTGCATGTGCCTTCCAATGAATATAACAGTCCAGCTCCTCATTTTTTTTGGAACTGTTTTTTTTTAATAACTGAAGACAAATTTAGTTCAAAAATTAAGATACAATTTTTGGTACATCGTTTTTTGCTTCATGTCCACAACTTTTTGGCAATGGCAAAGTATATGGCGGCACATGTTTTTTCTTAGAGTTTATATTTGCAATGAAATAACGGAATTAATTCTTGCATAAGTTCGACGAGCAGCAGTTGCTGCCATTGTCGCCATTAACAGCGCATCAAGTGAGTCTGTTAGCAAAGTTTTTGGGGATTTTCATATTTATCTCAAATTAATGATGTCTAAAACGTGCTACAATTCAAAGCTCTTTGCAATCCACAATGCACATAAGCGTGGAAAATAAGTCTCAAAAAAATTCAAATTTTTTTTAGCATAATCAAATTCGCATTTGCGCCAAAGCAACAAACACACTAAAAATAGAACATACCATGGCCACCTTCCTTTAAAGAAAAGAAAGAAAACGAAAAATTACTACTTTCTGGAAAAAAAGTGAAAATTCTGTCGCCTACGTGACATGAAAATCCCGAACGTTAAGNTTCCTTTAAAGAAAAGAAAGAAAATGAAAAATTACTACTTTCTGGAAAAAAAGTGAAAATTCTGTCGCCTACGTGACATGAAAATCCCGAACGTTAAGAAATGCATTCGTGCCGACCACGCTGCGCAGTCTGTCCCGCCCACGCAGCAGGGGTTTTTGGGGCAAATTATACTGTCGCCATCACAAGCGAAGTTGTCACAAA